TGTACTGCACACCATTCTTAAACGAGCTCATTTGCCATTAGCCATTGAATCTTCATTTTCAATCCAGGCTATATTCAGAATAATTCTTAAATATAGAAACTACTTCCCACCCACTCACTCCTGGAAATGAAGTTCAAAACAAACTTCTTTCATGGTGAGCTTGCAGAAACACTGGGGAGCCTTTTGATGAAATTGGAGAGCATATTATTACTCTAACTTTGCATTACAAACCAAGAGGGGAAAATGCTTTAAATTATTTCAATTTTATAAGCTGTGAATCAAAAGATCCCGTTGATAAAGTGCTGCCTAGGCTTCACATTCAACAGTACTCATTATAATCTGTTTGTGTTGCTCATTATTGTTTAACATAAGTGTCTAAAAGATGCTTGAATTCTTTCAGAATTACTGCTCATTTCTAAGAGAAAATCCTTGAACAGAATTAGATTGAGAAGTTGATATTGATTAAATAGACATTAATCAGCCTCAAGGCTCTAGTTTACTTTTGACATAGGTCAAAAGATTCCAAACTCCAGAGCTATCCATTGGCCATTACCTTTGTTTTTGTCAGGCAAGATGCCACAAATATTTTCTTTGCCTAGTTTTTTAATTTGTGGGGGATGCGTACTGGGGTTTGAAATCAGGACCTCACACTTGCTAAGTGGGTGCTCTACCACTTGAGCCACTTCATCAGCCCTTGCCTATTTTTTAGAAGGAAGAAGCTGTGCATCTTGTTCTTTTGATCATATATGGCATCATATATGGAAATGATGCCATACTTATAAGGAGAACACCGAGGATATTACAATGGCATCTTGTTTGAACAGTGCTAAGTAGTTCTATTAGGGGCTGTGGTTGGCAGAAATTTGACCTCATGACCTTTGTCCCCATTCACTAATATGTCACTTAATAGGTGGTAAAAGAGAATTTGCAGAGGAACTCTGCAATTAAGCTAACCAATCAGAAGACCATAAAAAGGGACATCACCAGATGGACCTTAGAGAATTACACAAAGTCAATGAGGCAGAATTCAGAGAGGTTTGAAGTAAGGAGGACAGCCAGCCAGTGCAGGCCTGAGATAGGAGGGAGGGACAAGTGGAAAGCATAGAAGGAAATGAATTGTACCTATATTCTGAATATTGCTGGCAGCATATTTTCCCCCACAGCCTGCAAAAAGAAATACAAACCTGTCCATACCTTGATTTCAGCTTTGTGAGACCCTGACAAGAGAATCCATCATGCAGTGGTGGGCTTCTGACCTACAGAACTGTGTTCCAATAAATGAGAGCTGTCCTTAAAGCCTCTGGGTTTGTGCTGATTTGTTAAGGTAGCAGTACAAAACTAATGCAGAAGTGGTAACAGATTACTAAAGAAGCTCCATCATTCATACATCAAAGACACAATTTAGCTAATAATGTCTCCTTTACTAGTAGGAATGGTCAATGCCAAGTTCATTTGAGTTTCCTCTGGCCTATTACATCCATCCTTCCCACCTGTCCATACAAGTATGCACAGCTTGCCTTTCTGAGCTACACATAGCACAGCTCAGAGTCCACTATTGCTACTTGTCAAGGCATGTCTGTCAATGAATTAGCTGTGGCACTGACATTTTGTAGCTAAGGAAACATTGGTGGGATCTTTAACTTCCACAATGTTACAGTTTGATAATTCTAGAATAAAATACCTATGGGACTTAAATTTCTGACCTCTTATGTGTTGACATAAAACCTTTGTGTTCACAGTAATTAATTTGGAAAAGGCAAGGAAATCTGAGCCATATTAAAATATGAAATTCAGTTTCCCTCAGATACAGTTCTCCTACCTCTCTATTCCTATCCGTGGTGCATCTGATACTACAAGGGTGTTTTTAGCTACTCTGGCTAAGAGTGTTGAGATTATACTTAATTCATTATTCTTGACTGCAGCTTCTTTTTTTTCACACCCTACTCCCAACTCATCCTAAGAAAGTTCTAGTCCCCAAATCCTGCTCTTAATCTCCCTCCTCTGCTCCTGCCAAATATACCTCTAGAAGTGGTGTACAGGACTTTTACTGTCCTGCGTATAAAACCACCGCCTGCTGATCCAGTTCACAGGATCCACTGTCTGGTTGTAAATACCTGACATCACCAGCACTCATCAGCGAAGGAACTGTTCTCATTCAAGATGGATAAGCTTCTTCTGAAAATACCCACCTCCATACCAGCCTTTAAGGCCCATCTTAGATGTCTCCTCTCTGTGAAACTGTTTTGTTCTCCTCTCAACCCCACCAGATCTTTCCTCCCATTTCCTTTCCTTCTTCAGACATTATCTTTTCTTTCTTGTCATCTGAGTCCAGCCAAATTGATTCTAAGTATCTACAATGATACTTGAATATCATTGAAAACTCAAAAAAGCTTGAATTTTCAAGGCTGTGGTTTTGATTTTTGTTGCATGCTTATTTAAACATTCATTGTTTGGGGTTTATTAGAAGTAAGTTGTAGAGAAGACCAGCTTTGTTAGTATGTTTAGTAGGGAGTTAGTACGTTTGGGTAGGGAGGAAGCAGTGCTGGTATTTGTAATGCGGGAACTGTAGTTATACAGTCCATTTGGAGGCTTTCTGTTGGCTAGGCTGATGTTCTGTGACTCATATTTGCTTAGGTACTGCACTGTCTTCCATTCAAAATCTTATTTTGAAATGTGATATTAATATTGCATGATCTTCGAACAAGAAACATATGTGAGGGAGTGGATAGAGAGGTTTAAGGGTAGATGGGTGGCAACAGGGTGCTAAGGAAGAAAAGTTTTTGCCCAAATGGAAAAATAAATGTAATGTGTATGGAGAATATTAAGAGAAATGTGCAAAATAAGATGCTAGTTGTATAACTTTATGTGAAATTGAATAAACACATGAACAATTACCAAAGGAGGCACAATTTGTAAGTGAGAAATCTGAAGTTACACTGTGTATCTTCATCACATGGCCCATTGGGTGACCAGGGTAGGTCCTGAATCTCCCCTGGCTTCAGCTTTTCAATCTGTAAGGTGAAGATAACAGCTACACAGCCCCTTCCATTATGGAGTTGTCAGTGTTGCATGAGTTTCTATATGAAAAGCATCCAGAGTAGGATAGGGCCTGCCAATGAGGAGGTGATGGGAGGTGACAGGGGGGTTTTCTGCTCCCTGCAGAATGGGATTTTCAGCTTTTATTTTCCTACAATCTTTCCTTATTACAAGAAGGAAGCTTTTCATTTCATTTTGTTAATATTCACCTTTCCATTTTCTCTTTTTCTTTCTGTCCTTGTACATTACTTTTTATTTTTGAGGCGTACTATTGAGGATGCCAAAAATTTTTCTGACATTTCATGGTAGATTTTTTTAGAAGCAATTTTTCAGAAGTGTAGTTTTATTTTCTTTGAGTCATCTTTATGTTCATTCTTTCCTTCATTATAAGATCTTCTTGCACAGATTATATGCCATTTATTTATTTTCCCTTTATCCATCCTCAAAGAAGGCACTAGTTCTCAGGAATTTTCTTTCATGAGGATCAGACTTAACTTGAATTAAAACTTAATTGAATGAAATGGTTAAAGTGGGGAATCAGGAAACATACATAATCATTTTAAATCATTTTGTATGATTTAAATGATATAATGGAAATATAGCTTATTTTAGATTCAGACCACAGGCTCTTTTCCAGGTTCTGCTGATTTCAGTAGTCATTTTTATCTTACATCAGTCCTGTTCCTATCTAATATTTCTAATTTCGTTTCTTTAAAGTTAAATGGAACTTAAAGATACTCATGAAACAAACTGAGTGCAGAACCTCTCTAACCTTTTATAAGTGTTTTCTATGATTTCACAGTGGCCATACATAATTCAACAGTCATGCTTTTAGTGACAGTTCAAAGAATTGAACTTAGGTTCTGTAGAAACAACAACTCCATTTTCATGTTCATATTTTATTGGTTTATGTCACATTTGATTACATAATTATAATAACAAGCAGAACTTGTCAAAACAGGGTTTGGAATGACCATACTGAATCTTTTCAACTAGTAGCAAAAGTGAGGAGAGGGTACCAAAAGATGGCCTTTGAGTCATGAATTCTGCGTTATGTAGGCACTGGGCAGTAAGCGGTACAAAAGGAATGGGCACCATCAGAGAACCCACCGAATCCACCGAACCCACTGAATTAGAACCTCAGTTAAGGGAGGTTCCAATACACCAGTGCTTCTCAAACTCCAGTGTGGCCTCTGAGATGGCCTGGTTAAATATAGAGTATTGGGCCATGATTTAGTTTCTGATCCAATGGGATTGGGTGAGGCCAGAAAATATGCTTGCATTTCTAGCAAGCTCCAAAGTAATAAATTCTGCTGGTCTGAGGAACACACTTGGCAAATCACTGAACCCCAGCCAACCTTGAGGGTGTGAATGAAGACAGAGCCCTTTAAACATCAGCATGCACCATATGTCATATTTCCATGTGTCTCTCTCCACCTGGTGGTGGATATTCCTCCCAGAATCAAACAGGAGCTTTTCTGCTGTACTTAGTGATTGGTATTGTGCTAAATTTTTAATCGTGTGTGTGTGTGAGAGAGAGAGAAAGAGAGAGAGGGGGAGTGTGTATATATGTGTGTATGTGAGAAAGGTGTATGTGTGTGTGAGAAAGAGAGAAAGGTGTGTGTGTATGTGAGACAGAGAGAGAGAGAGAGAGAGAGGGAGAGAGGGTTAGGGAGGATGCAATGAAGACTTTTACTGTCTTCACGTTCATTGTCATTGACTTTCTTGAAAAAGGTAAAAGTACTAGTTAGCTCTTTCAACCTTTCACATTGTTTTTTCAAACACAAGGCACAGTCTCTTCACATGGAAAAAAAAACACTTATTTCGTGTGTCAGAAAACTTGTTTGGTAAAAGCTTACAGCTGCAGGGTGGAAAGGCAAAAATGTGGGCGTGCTGTCAGCATGCTGAAAATTTTGTCTGAGAAACAGGCAGATTTTCTGATTGCTCTGTAATCTCCCTTTCAGAACTGGCTGACGGAGCTGGAGATCTTCGCTATAATCTTCTCAGCTGCCATCCACGATTACGAACACACCGGAACCACCAACAATTTCCACATTCAGACTCGGTGAGGGTGTTGAAATGTTTGGAGAGGATGCAAGAGGGGACAGGAATAGAGTTTAGAAGTCAGTAAGGTGTATGTTGGTCACCTTTCTTTTGCACAATTACTGAGTTTCTGAAAAGATGAACGTATATGAACCAAAGGTGGGTCTGATCAGCTTCAATCAATATATAGGGTTTAAGTAGCCATCTGCTCCAAATTCTCACACTTAGATTCAACTGGATTCTTATAATGCTTGATCTTAGTTTATTTATGTATCCACACTCTATGTATACTCTACCTAGTTCTTAAAAGGTGGAAGGGCAGTTTGCATAGAGCCCTAAAGCAATAAGGATAGGTGATGAGGATGATGATGATGATGACTGGAGGGTTTCTGTGGACATGACCAATACCTGAGCCTCTGGCTCTCTAACCTCTGGTGTTCTGGTGAGATACTCTTCTCATTCTCTCCAGTTTCATCTCTGTTCTGTTCAGTGCCTGCACTGCTCCTTGGTACAGGGCTTGGAGAGTAAGTCATCACATGTGGGCCACCTGTACTATGGCAACCTGTGCATCCTTCCTAGTGAACTGCATAGGTAAACACAAACCTTCTTGGGGGATATTAAACTTGGGTCCAAGTGCCCTGCTCTGAACCTCTCAATCTGTTACAGACTTCACTAATTGATTTTGATATTTTTGCTTCCTAAGCACAGAATTATTCCTTTCAGCACAGTACTCAGTCTAACAGTACCAGTCACTTACCATCTCCACTTAGACTGACACATTATCTGTTCTCTCCTGCCTTAAAAAAAATTTGCCATCATCTAAGACAGTGATGTGGAGATGGGAGGATCTGATAGTAGGTTTTTGGGCTTTGACGTAAGAACCAAAAGGAAATTGGATTTGGGAAAGGTAGCAAAGCAGGGAGAAAGAACACTGGGATGAGAGGAATTGTTGAATACCAAATAAATGCTGATGTCACTTGAAAAAGCAGGTACATACTCTGGATAGGTTTGTGTTAACTAAATCAATCTCATGTATTTAATGAACTCAGCACTTGATTATGTGGCACAGAAGAGAGCACAATATTGTCTGACCTCTGTTTAGAAGGGGAATCCTAGTGGAATGGAAGCAGACTAAAGGATTCAAGCTGTTCACTCTAGTTCTTATACTTCCTCCCCACATAGAGTGGTCTCAACTGCTGGAAGCAGCCTTTTGTGGTTTTGTTCCTTAAATACAGGGGACTCCACAAAGCAGCTTGCTTACAGTGTGTCTGTGGGTAGAACCTTTGCTGAGGACAGGGACTACAATGAATAGCATCCCAAGGATAAGGAGATGGGTGTATCAATTGTATGTAAATCTTTCCTGAAGGTCAGTATCAAAACCAGTCACAACTCAGAGGAAAATAGCTTAATTGAAAGTGCTTAAAAGTAGCTTACCTTCACAAAAATACACATCTGTTCACATCTAACTTATCCAACAGATAGAAGAGTAGCATTTTCACCTAAGCATTTGTAAGTTTTGTGTTATCTCCCCAGAGGAGTAGGAAAATTCCAGTGGGTTCAGTTTATCTTAGATTAGAATGAAATTTAAACACTGACCTTCTTCAGCAAAGTTTTATACAATATATCTGAGTCCATGTGATCCCTGTTGAGAAAACTGTGACCATGTGAATTATCCTGTGATGGACAAAAACTGTTAAGTGTAATATGGTTTATAGTTTGCTAGATAAATGTTAAGCATAATGCTTTTATGATATGCTGGAACATCCCAACATCTCAGTGACAGGTGGGCATTATCTAGGGGAGCACTGTCCTGCTGTGGGAAGAACTCACCTCTCTCCCAGCACTGACACTTAGCTGCTGTGAGTCTCTGTGAATTCACTTCACATCTCTGGACTTAGTTTCCTTCATGTGGCACCAGTGAGTTCTAATAATCATCTTATCATTAAGTTAGCGATATTAAAATAATATACAGTCCTACATTTGGTGACATTTAGTTATAGAATGGTCTTTGAGAAAGTGACTAACAATAGGCATGTAGTCTTTATATTCCCTTACTTTCAATTATCCGCATTTGACTTTTGCATGGAAAAGCCTTAGGACCAAGCTACTACCACAGACAGCTTTCAGACAGTACCCACCAAATGGTATATGTTCAGAGAATTACAACTAAAATATATAAACCATTGTACTGATTGAATTAAATTTTTAAAAAGTTAATCCAGAAAATATTAGGAAATTTGACATTGTCCTCATTTAAAACAAAGCACTAATACAGGTAATTGAAATCTAGTGATACAATAGTTTTCAGAGGTTCTTAGATTGGATCTCACACACTTCATATCTGTGTACTAAGAGTGAAACACCACACATGTATGTCAGTAATTTGTAGTCTTAGTATAGCTTTAGGTTGATAAAACTTGCATGGGGCAAAGATCATTTCTAAACACAGGAAAAAGTGATGTAGCCCATGGAAGTTAGCTGAAGAAGTCTCCACTGTTTGCCATCCTGAATAATTTTGCATGACTCTCTCTTTAGGTCTGATCCAGCTATTCTGTACAATGATAGATCTGTGCTGGAAAACCACCACTTGAGTGCAACCTATCGCCTTCTGCAAGAGGATGAGGAGATGAATATTTTGGTCAATCTTTCAAAGGATGACTGGAGGTAAAGATGAGATGAGAGAGATTTAAAAACCAGGGAGAGAATTGTGAAATAGATGCTGCATTTAAAGAAACAATACTGTGCTCTAAATCTCTCTCTTTCTCTCTCTCTCTCTCTCTCTCTCTCTCTCTCACTGTGCGTATGTGTGTGTCTCACTCACCTTCCTCTCTCTCCTTCTCTTCTGCTTCCTCCTGCCTCCCCTTCATCCCTTCATTCTCTTTCCCTCTCTTTGTGTGTGTCTCTCTCATTTCTCTCTATTTTTTTCTTGACACAGATGTCCCATTGTTTACAAGTTAGGGCTATATAGAATGCTATGCTACTTTATTTCTCCATCTTTATTTTGTCTTTCTTTTAATGATTTTGGAAATGGAACAAGTTTAGGTCAAATAACTTAGCCTTGTGCTAAAAATTCTTGTGTAAGAATGTTCTACCAACAGTGTCCAACTGAGGGTGCTTTCTTATGTATTACCTGAGAAAATTTTTGTTTATTTTAGATGAATTTTAGCAATTGTGGATGCACCTTTTTTATTTGTACTTTTTGCAGTTTTTGAAATTTTCTAAGGGAATTATTTGTACACTTAAAAAATATTGTGGTTTGCTTGGCATGTTGTCGTACACCTATAATCCCAGCTACTCATGAGGTGCAGGCAGGCAGATCGTAAGTTTGAAGTCAGTCTGGGCAAAGTTAGCAAGACCCTGTCTCGAAAACAAAATACAAACAAAAAGGCTGTGGGCATGGTTCAAGTGGTAGAGCACTTACCTAGCAAGCAACAGACCTTGGGTTCAGACTCCAGTATGGCAAGGAAAAAAAAAGAATCACAAGTTAATACTACATGACCTTGGGTGTAGGAACAACTGTTTTTGAATAAAGACTGAATTTCTTACTAGATGTATGAGGCTGATGAAGCTGCTTAACCTCTTTATATGTGTTTCACATTTAATTTCCAGAAAACAGATAATGGCACTACCCTACAATATGGTCTAGAAGATAATAGCTGACATGGCCCTTTAAAATGTACACATTGTGGCCCATGCATAACAAGTCTGCACACTTTGTGACCGATAAATAACAAGTCTGGAAGTTATTGCAGCTATAAATATGGACCAAGGCTTATAAATATGTTTCAGAGTTTATAGATAAGTTAAATCCTTTCAAAGTTCTGAATTTACTGGGCTCAACTAGTACTTATATTTTAATTAAATGACCAACTGTTCATTGAGTGAGTACACATGCCATGGTTTTGAAAGATTTGTGTGAGGGCTTGCTTAGATAATATATATTCCTGGACTCATGACAATCTAATAAAGTTATGTACAGTTGCCTTTTCAAATACTTCTAAATCATAGAAGTGCCATTTATATTTTTGTTTTGGATTTTCTACCTTTGTTTCAGTATAATTTTGTCAAAAATTTAGCTATCCATGTGTGTTTCCATTGTGCTATGATCTTAAGCTTTATTTGTTTTCTCAGCCTACAACTAAGGCAGCGAGGCAGGGGTAGGCAGTATATAAACCCACAGCTCCTGGAATAGGCCAGAACAAGCCAGTCACACTTTAACACCGTGGCACATACCAATGCAACCATACTTTTGGTTTATCTTTGCATTCTTCCTGGTGGATACCAGCTGTGAATAATTAGAATATTAACTCTGAACAATGCACGTTATAAATTTGAGTCATTCAACAAAACATAAGTGAATTTAGTTTAAAGATGTGGTCAAACAAGTTATTTGGAAATACAGTTCAGTGAAATCTGTTTATTTAGTAACCTATTTGTGTTTCTTATTCAGCACTATCTTTATTATCTCAGGGAAAGACTAAAATCATGGACTATCTCAAGAATTGTACCATCATGATTCTGTGAAAACTTTTATTGAGGTGCTGGGGTTTAAACCCAGAACCATGCACATGCTAGGCAAGCACTATACCACTGAGCTAAATTCCCAGTCCCCATGGAAACTTCCTTATGCTTTTGGCCTATAGCACCATGTGTTGCACCTGCTATTTGATTTTTAGGATTCTGTAGTTTAAAAAAAGATTACAGTTGATTTTTTTTTAAATATAAAGTTATAGATTTGATATTCTGGATATTTTCACTTAAGGATAGTTTAAAATATTTTTGTTTGTTAATTTTTATATATAGTAACCCAAACATTGGTATTACCTCATAAATGAAATAACAATGTATTATTAGAGCTCTAAGTTAAGCCCTTTAACCCAAAGATAATTTATGTTTAATATCCTATGTATTTCTAAGAAAACAATTTTAATAGCTGATAGGTTTTATTTGGGTAAGTATGTTAGACTTTTTAGGACCTTTTCAATGAATGTGTTACCAGATATTTATTTCATTGAAAAGTATAATAATATGGAGTTCTGATTTTGGCAAGTCAAATAAGCTGCTTATAACCAGTCTTCCTAAAAATAGCAACTATGAACTCTGGAGAAAATTTTTTAAATGAATGGATAGCTTGAGGGCTCTAAAAGGTGAAGGAATTCAGGCAGGTTTTGAAAGGATGCCAAATTTTGAAGAATGTGACAAAATATAGGGAATTTGATCTTTTTGCGACTTTATTCTGTAAGATGTTTCAGCAAAGATAACAACTTAGTCACACACACAGACATACACACAACACGTACAAACTGAACCATCTTTCTGATTAAAGAAATCACTGTGAGAACCTGGGACAAAAAGAGCTTCAGGAGAGGAAGACAGGTAGAACCTCAAAAAAGAGATAACCAAATAAGGACAAACTAAAATTCTATATATAAACTCTGTCCAAGCATCTGGCTGATTCTTAAACTATGTGTACATTGGGTGGACTGATGTATTGCTTACCAAAGCTGAACAGAGTTTGTATTATCAGTATAAATCGATTATTTGCCTGCTAAAACAAAATATCAATACTCTTTAAAGCAATGTAAGAGAACTCAGAGTCTCTACAACTTACATTCATCAAGTTCAGGACACAGCCTAAATAACATAGAAAGGACAGGAAAAAGTGACTTATTGATAGTGGAAAAGGCAATTAACAGATTCATTGTACACCACAAACTATTGTTGGAATTATAAGTCAAGGACTTTTAAAGCAATTATATGTGTGCTCAATGAGGTAAAGGAAAATGTACTTGATAAGAATAAAATATAGCTAGGAGAGGGGAATCAGGAACTAGAGAAAAGGTTAGATCAAAAAGAATTAACCTAGAAGGTAACACACATGCACAGGAAATTAATGTGAGTCAATTCCCTGTATAGCTATCCTTATCTCAACTAGCAAAAACCCTTGTTCCTTCCTATTATTGCTTATACTCACTCCTCAACAAAATTGGAGATAAGGGCAAAATAGTTTCTGCTGGGTATTGAGGGGGTGGGGGGAGAGATAGGGGGCAGTGGTCTAGGAACCACAAAAGTGGGATTGGACAGCAGAAAAGCACAGAGAAATAGAAAGGCAACAGAGTGAAGTAGAAACAGTCTGCAGCTTCAGTCCTAACTCCCCAGGGAGGAGGGGAAGATAAAGCCTCCACCACAAGGTGGTGACATGCTGGCAGACCTAAAAAAAAAAAAAGAAGAAGAAAATATAGCAAAATTTACTGGTTAAGTGAAAATATAAATAAAAATAGAAATTTTACAATAGAAAGATAAAAATATAAAAATTTAAATTTCACCACATAAGCTTAGTAGCATGAGGGAGAAGACAGAGAAATGAGTTAGTAAATTTGAAATGTTCACTTTTAAAGTTGAGAATTATCTAATTTGAAGTAGGAAAAAATGTTTAAAAGTGAACAGAGTCATATGATTAAAAATAAAGACAACTGGAGTCTCAGAAGGAGAGGAGAAAAAGTGCAAAAGAAAAAAAATTTGAAGAAATAATGACTAAAAATGTCAAGTATGGTCAAGGATACAAATTTAAGACCTAAAATAGGATAAATTAAAAGATAAGAATACCTAAGTAAAACTGCTAAGTGTCCAAGATAAAATTAGAGAAAAAATGATACATTACATTTAAGGGAACAATGTGAACAACTATGACTTTTTATCAACAATTATGAAGGTTCAAAGACAATAGAATAACTTCTTTAAAGTACTAAAAGAAAAAAGTTAACACAGAACATACAACCTTTGAACATACCCTTCAAGAATGAAGATGTACTTTCAAATAATGGAAAACAATAGGTTTGTCACAAAGAGAACTTCATTGTAAGAAATGCTAAAAAAAAAAAAAAGTTCTTTAGATGGAAGGGAAATGACACCAGAGCAAAACTAGACTAAAATGGTGAATATCTAGGAAATGCAAATGACTCTTTTCCTTAGTTTCTATAAACTAAGGGCATAGACCCATTAAAAGCAAATATTACATCATCTCATGAGGTTTATAATGTAGGGAGGTATAGTACATGTGTCTATAAAAACACTAAACATAAATATTAGCTAATGGTAGTAAATGAGCCTGTACTTTTGCAACATTTTTACATTTTACATGAAGTGATTCAATATTTACTTTAAACAAACTGAAATTTAAAGATGTGTATCGCAACCCCAGGTAACCACTAAAAATTAACAATTCTAGGTAAAAAGGCAAAACCTTAATGAATAAACCAAATTAATTTTAGAACCTAAATCATATCCCTCAAAAAGCAGAGAAGGTATGGGGGGGAAGAAGAAAATATAAACAGAAAACAAACAATAATCTAACCATCTCAATAATTACATTGAATGTTAAAGGTCTAAACTAACAGGCAAAAATTATCAGAATGTATAAAAAGCAAGCTCCAATTGCATTCTGTCCATAAGAGATACACTTCACATATTAATACACCAGTAAGTTGAAAGTAAAAAGATACTTAATATACCAAACAGCACCTATAAAAAGACTAGAATGCTGATGTCAGATAAAATGAACTACAAGGAAAGGGTATTATCAAAGATAAAGAAAATTTTATGATAATAAAAGTGTGAATTCTTCATAAAATACATAACAATCATTATAACTATTCCCCAATTACAGATTTCCAAAATATGAAGTATAAAAATTAATAGAAAAGGAGAAGTACGTATTTATAAAATAATAGTAAATGATAACATTCTTGCCTAAAAAAATTGATAGAACAAGACAAAAACATTAATAAGGACATAAGAGGATTTAATCAATACAATCACTTTGTCCTAAACGATGCCACTACACACAACAAATATATACACATTCCCTCTGAGTTCACTTGCTGGAACATTTTTTTAAAGTTTTAATGAATTTAAAAATATCACAAGCTTAAAGAATGTGTTCCATAACCACAATGGATTTAGTTCTAAATCAATAAGGTATCTAGGAAAACCAAAGTACTTGAAAATTAATCAAAACACATTTCTGAATAATTTGTGTGTCAAAAAAGTAATCACAGAGGAAACTATCAAATATTTCAAATGTAATGACAATAAAAATGCAGCATATTTAAAATTTGTGGATTACCATTAAAACAGTATGTATAGCTATAAATGTGCATTTTTAGGAAGGGAGAAAGATCTGAACAGAGTAATTTAGGAAGCTAGAAAAAGAAGAGCAAACTTAAAGTAGACAGAAGTGAGGAATTAGCAATGATTAGCGAAGCTCTATCCCCAGCTTGCTCACCACCCCTGCAGATCTTGGTCTTGCCAGCTGTCATAATTATGTAAATTAGTTCTGATAATAGATCCTTTTCTCTGTATATTCAATTGGCTTATCTGGAAAACTCTAATAAATATATAGCTTACTATGGGAAGCTATACTTGGGAAAATTAACAAGGTTAATTCATTATTTAAATTAAAATAATTCACTATATTAGGAAAAACAGAGCTGAGTATGGTGGTACATGGCTATAATCCCAACACTCAAGATGTTGAGGCAGGAGAATCTTAAGTTCAAGGTCAACAGCCTGGGCTCCATAGTGAGACCCTGTCTCAGAAAAACAAAAACAAGGATGGGGGAAAAGTGTGTGGTCATTTCACTAGATATATCCAAAGCATTTGACAAAATTCATTATTCACTCATGGTAAAGACTCTTAGCAAACCCAGAAATAGAAGAGAACTTCTTCAACTAGATAAAACCTATAGTTTACATCAACCTTAATGGTGATATATTGAACACTGAATGGTTATATATTACCTCTTATGATTGTAAACAAGATAAAGATGCCCAATCATATTCAATGGTGCAAGTTGTTTCTATTAACAAACAGTATCTGATTGAGGAGAAAATCCTCAGAGTCTATAAAGCAGGTGGTAAAGCTAATGAAGAATCTTTCAGGGTCACTGAATGCAAAGTTAGCTATAAAAATAATAGCAAACATTTGGAAAAATAAATTTTAAAATTATTTTACAATAGTACTATATATATATATGTATATATGTAAGTGTATGTATATATTAGTAACTTTAAAAAGCAAGTACAATGCCTATTTACTAAAACCTACATGAACATTGCTGGCTAAAGAGGACCTAAATAAATTGAGAGATATATTGTCATCTTATAGTGGAATACTCACTTTTGCAAAGATATCAAATCCTCCAAAATTTATTTATAGATTTAATACAATCCCAGTCAAAATTCCAGAAGAATTGTGTTAGAAAATGCCAAAGTTATCCTAAAATTTATATAGAAATGCAGATAAAACAAGTTTTAAAAGGAACAAGATTAGAGGACTCAGACTACTTGACTCAAAGCATACTATGAAATTCTAGTAGGTGAGAGTGTTATTTCTTTGGTGAAAAGATAGCTGTACAGGTCCACGGAACCGAACAAAGTTTGGAAATTAACTCATCAATTGATTATTGACAAAGGTGCCAAGGAAAACCAATGGGGAAAGGAAGCTCTTTCTCACAAATGGTGTTGGAACAAATGAATATCCATATGTGAAAAAAAATAACTTTGACTCTTACCTCACACCACATTCAAAATTGGCCATAGACCAAAACCTAAAATCTAAAATAACAAGATTTAGGTTGGGATGTGACTCAGTGGTAGAACTCCCTAATACCATAAAAATAATAATAACGACAAGAGTTCCTGAGGAAAACAGAGCCAAGACTTCAGGGTAAGTGGAGATTTCCCAGAACACAAAAAGTGTGAAGCATTTGAAAATTAATGAGTTTGACTTTATCAAAATCAAGCCTTTTGCTTATTGGAAAACACTGAAAAAAATGCAAGCCAAGAAATTAGAGAAATCTGGATATAATATATATGTCTTACATAGGATTTGTATCCAGAATATATCATGTACTTTTACAACTCAATAATAAGGCAACAAGCAACTCATTTTAAAAAAGCAAAAAGTTTAAGACAGAAATTTCTCTTTCAACAGGATGTACAAATGGTGTAAGTACATAAAAATGTACCCAAAATTATTAGTCATTAAAAATGCAAATTAAAAACACAATGGCACACACATCCATTAGAATGACAGGTATTAAAGTCTGACCGAAACAGGCAAAGAAAAACTGAAATTTTCAAACAACGGTACTCAAAATATACAGCATAAAAATGTTAAAAAATGTTTGGCAATTTCTTATGAGATTAAATACTTAACTATCTAATAAACCAGCCATTCTACATTTACCTCAGAGAAATGAGAATGTATGTCTACACGATGACTTGCACATGAATACTCTTAGAGGCCTTGTTTACAATAGACCCAAACTAGACTCTAATAATGGACGTATTCGTCCACTGGTAAATGATTATCAAATTGCCGTGTACCGTGGAACACCACTTAGCAGAAAGAGACAAGGAGCTATTGGTGAGCCCTCTACATCATGAATGGCAGGTCATTACAGAAAGAAAAGAAAGTCAGAAATAAGAGTACATTTTGTAGTTTTCATTTGCATGTTGGCGAGTATATGGAAACTTTCGTACACATATATATGCATTGTATATGCATAAGTATACATATACATGCATGTGTTATACATACATATATATGAGAACTAGAAAATGTAGAATATCCTAGAGAGACATAAAGCAGATCATAGTTTGTCTGGAGCCTGACTTGAAGATGATGGAAATATTTGATATCATGATTGAAGCTTATTTAACTGTTAAGACTCACCGAATTGTGCAACTTATATAGAAACAGCTTGTTCTATGTAAATTATACCTCATTGAAGTTGTTAGAGACAACAGAGCATGCAGTGAGTGTCCTACATGATACAGTAGGACACCATTATTGATGGATGTACAATACTACGCATCTATCAAAACCTGCAGGACTGTACCACGTGAAGAACTTCCCCAATGTAAACTATGTACTTTGTATGCAATATCAATACTCTTTCATCAGTTGTAACAAATACCCCACAAACGCAAAATTTCAGTAGTTAGGGGAGAGAGGATATGTGGGAACTCCATACATTCTACTTTCTTTAGTTTTTCTGTAAAACCAAAGCTACTCTAAAAATAGTCTGTTTTAAAATGGTGGAATATGGATTTTGAATCTAGCTCTTGGATTATTTTCAAGTCAATTATTCCTTAAAACTATGAATTCAGTGGATAAGGGAACACTTTTCAACTGCACTGAAATTTTCTAAGTAATTTTTCAAATGATACATGTATCATATTACTAATAAATGGTTTCTTAATCCTTAACCTTCATTTATTCCTATAAAAAGCTTACCTGAACTACTTAAATTAGATTAGAAATTTCAGACATAATTAACTGGTTTAGTTTAGAAGTGACCAACACTTACCTTTAATTTTCCATTTTTTCACTTCCATTCTGTCTTCTCTATGGATGTTCCTGAAAGGGAGTTTCGAACCTTGGTTATTGAGATGGTGATGGCCACAGATATGTCTTGTCATTTCCAACAAATCAAAGCAATGAAGACTGCTCTGCAACAGCCTGAAGCGTGAGTGGGCCTGTGACATCATGTGTCCTTATAGGTGTCTGAGCTGGGCTTTGTCCTTGTTCACTGAGAGCATATCTCCTTCACCATAACTATATTGAGTGGTGATATCTGAAGGACAGAGTGTGAGCACTGTACACTTTTCAAATTACAGAGTTGCATTAAGTAGCAGGGTGGGTAATAGTTTGTCCAGGTAGAATAATGATGTGTGGGAAATTAAATAATCTAAGATCCACTGAATGCAGAGGTAACAAGTCAGTGACTCTTGGATTCTTGTTGCCTTCTTGAATGATGCAGCTATTCCATAAATGGGTTTGAGGGAGAAGTGTCCAGTTCAATAAACATGGAGTACAAGGTGATGAATATCCTAGTCATAGGATGAAATTATGCCCTTTTTTCAAGTAAGCAGAGGTTGGGTTTGAGTTGGGAGGATGAATGGGATGAAAAGGATGAATGATTTTTGAAAACACTGAGCTACTGAGTGTGGTGACCATGTGCTTGGGTGCTCTGGTCTTACAGGATTGAAAAGCCAAAAGCCTTATCCCTTATGCTGCACACAGCAGACATCAGCCACCCTGCAAAAGCATGGGACCTGCACCATCGCTGGACCATGTCCCTGCTGGAAGAGTTTTTCAGACAGGTACCTTGTTGTTTTACTGATTGTGAGTGCTGTCATTGGATATTTTAGGAATCTTACATTTTAGTACTGCTATGATCAGGGCAATTCAGATTATAGTCATTTTCTTAGAAGAGGGAGAGTTTCACAGTTTTTTATGCTTCCTGGTTAACTATGTTTTAATTGTAGACAAATTCTGATTCTCAAGATAATATGAGATGAGTTTCTATCCTACGCATTTCTGTTTGGGGGGAAAAAGTGTCTTCTTGTGGCAGTCTTTTGTCGTCATGCCATTTGAGGAACCCCTATTCCTTTTCTTTTTTTCCATGATGGATTAACAAAATAGTGTTTATTTTGCCATTACCTGGTGGGACTCGTTTGTTAATCTTTAACTCATGTTTCTGTAATAATTGGTTGGGTTGTTTTTTCTAAGTGAACAAGCCCATGATACAAAATTTCAAAATTAAGTGTGGCAAATTAGAGTCATAAAATCACTAGACACTATTCTAATTATATTTAAATGTAACTGCTACTCTAAGATTCAGAGTTGTGTTGTCTATCAAAATAGAATACTTAATTTGTACACATTGCTATAAAGCAAATTACTCTCTCTTCAACAAAATTAGAGATAAGGGCAAAATAGTTTCTGCCGGGTAGCGAGGGGTAAGGGGGGGTAAGGGAGGCAGCGGGAGGAAGGGGGGAGAAATGACCCAAACATTGTATGCACATGTGAATAAAATTTTAAAAAGATCAATTCTGACGAAAGAGAACTGATCATGTCATTAAGAAAAAATGTATCTATAGAATGAGAAAACTAATAAAGAACAGACTATAAGGCAAAAAAAAAAGCAAATTAAAAGAAAAGTGTATGGAATAGAGAACTAGGAAGAAAAATAAATGCACACTACCAAGACCACTCGGTTTCAAGTTCATGCAGCAATCTCAAGTCTAGAAGATCTGCCATTTAAACATCTGCTTTGAGACATGAGGCCCTGAGAATGAAGCCATGTTATGTAGATTGTAGGACCTAATTTATAGGTAATTCAAATTAATAAGACTAACTCAGTTAATTCTTGTTAATTCAAGAAGGGAGCAATACAATATAGATTCAGAGACCTCTGAAATTCCATAAAACACTCCCATTCTCACCTTTTAGCCCTGACTTGACAAGAGTTTGGCTCTTTTGCTGTTATCTTAGTTCATTTTCTGGTGCTATAACACAATAGCTGAGATCAGATAATTTATAAAGAATACAAGTGTGTTTAGACTGGGGTTCTGAAGTACAAGAGCATGGCCCTGGGATCAGGTGGGCCTCTTAAAGCCACTAACACCAGCATCAGGGCCCCACCTGCTGGCTTTATTTAGCTCAAATTACTTCCCAAAGGCTCCATCTCTAAATACCATAACCGTATGGCTTTAGGGATTAAGGTTCTAACACATGAAATTTGGGGGACACATTAAGCCATAGCACACTGGCTACTTTGGTTCTTGGGAGCAAATTATTTTTGTAAATATTCTTAGTCTTATGAGTCTTGTGTGAGTAGTAAATTATAGAAGGGGTGTGTGTGTGTGTGTTTTGTTCCTTCTGAGGTTGTACACACTGTTTCATAATAAGTGGGACTAAGCAATAGCCAGAAAATCCTTTCTTGGATTTTTTTTTCAGTGCTGGGGATTGAACCCAGGACTTTGCAGCATTCTACCACCGAGCCACATCCCAGCCCAAAACCCTTTATTGGAGTTGGTATTCCAACTAGTTTGTGCCCTGGGACACAAATCAAATCAGCCCTGTAATTCCCGATGGTCTTGTCTGTGCTTTTTCTTGGTAGTGGGGGATGACTTAGGAAAAGATTGGGCCAGGTTTCTTAAAACTCTTTTAGCATTAAATGCCCTGTGTTTTCTTTATTCTGCCCACGAGAACATGTCAACATATGCACACTCAGCTGCTCCCAAAGTTCTTGTGTGCAAGTACTCTATTCTACACCAGCAAGTACTCTATTCTACACATAGTGCTTTCATCTTGCAAAGTCATCCTTTTGGTTCCAAAAGAGTTCTCAAAGGGATCATAAAAAGGTGTGTATGAGTGTGAGGTGTGAGGGATGTGGAGGGGAGTTAGAAGTATATACATGTGACCCTGTTGTATACAAGGAAAACTGTAAATTCATCCTTCTTTGAGGGCTTATTTTGAGCCATTTTTCCACAGGCTGTTTTTCTAATAGTAATGAGAGGATTTTCTCCAAATTTACTCCAATTTGTCTTATGTGTTCTTTGGTATTACTTTTTTAATAATACCCCACACAGCTAGGAATATTCAGACTGTAGTCAAAGGATAAATCACACCTAACTCATACAAGTTTGACACATTGGTGTGATTCTTCTTTTTTAATTATGAGATAATGAGTGTGAATTATTTAATTATGTGAATATTTTCCCCATAAAGGAAACCTTGTTTGCATACAAATACACATATGCTAGAATTAAGTGAAAATGTGCTACAAGCAATGCAAAAAAAAAAAAAAAACACCATATTGAATTTTTGCCCTGCTGGGAGCAAAATGTTAGCTCACTGGACTGGAACTATTTTTAAGTAATTATAATTCAGTAAATTATTTTTATTGCCTTAATATTTTAACCCAGTTGCCATAAACCACAGTAAGTAACTCACATAGGAGAAATGTTGTCTCTGCTGTCAGGCATAAATTTTAAATTGGACAATTCAAATGGAAAATCTCAATGGGATTGTAGAGTTGTTTTGAAAATTACTTTTGGAAAGTTGAGTTGTATTTCAAAACAAGGGCATAGCCTCAATACACATGAACCAGATCTTCTTAGCTTTGCTAAAACAGGAGGTTACATCTTCACTTTTATAACTACAGTTTACAAAATCCAAGCCACTGCCTCAAGCTGCTTTTCAATGAAATAATGACTTTTAAAGAGTATAAGTTTATCTCCTTTGTAAATACATCTTGTCACAGAAACTTTGGTGTTCATTTCCTTTGTATTGTTGTGTATTTTTATATTTTGTAAACATCTCTTCCAATTCTTTTCATTTTTGCTGTGTCTGTGATTATCCCCCAACTTTTATTTATTTCATGCATATTTTTTTCCTTTTTGTCTAAAACGTATGTAATTATTCTGTGGTTTCTTTTTTGTTAATAATGCCTTAATTACCATTTTCATTTTATTAACTCATTCCCTCTGCTTGAGTTTGTTTTGTTCTTTTTCTGACTCTGAGTTGGATGCTCAATTCATTTGTTTCCATTCTTGCTTGTTTAGGAAATATAAAGTTAGGATTTTGTCTTTTTATTATTGAGAATCTCATAGGTTCTGACACGCAGTGTGTCCACAATTATTCTTTACAATTTTGGTTTTCATTTCTCTTTTATTCAAGAGTTGTTTCAGAGAGAGGGGATTTTTCAGTGGTAGTTTTCTTTGCCTAATAGCTTTGCAATTTGTTAACTGAAATGTGATCAAAGAATTTTTCATTGTTTGGAACTTATTTTGAAATATGTATCACATATTATGTAGTCAACCTTTGTGAGTGATCACAGTTCATGATAAATAGATTTATTTCCTACTTGAAGGGCATGGAGTTCAAGGGACATTAGATAACCTACCTCCTCAGTTTTGCCACTTAGGTATTTTAAATAGCATTTTTTAAATTTTGGGCTATCATGGACTGACAGGTATTTCCATTAGTTTTTCTTTTTATGTACTGTAACTTTTGCTTCAGAAATGCTGATTCTATATTATTTGGTTCTTGGATATTTATAACTGTTAGACCTTCATAGTTTATTGTGCTTTTTATTATGATAAAGCTTACTTCCTTGTCTCACCTCCTGATTTTCCTAGAATTCAACTTGACTCATATGAACTATTTAACCATGTTTTTGTACATCATTTTCTTTTTAACTTTGCAGAGATACTTTCAGTTAGGTGTGTGTTAAACACTATATGTGAGTTTTCAATAAAACAATCTAAGCATCTTTTCTTTTTGAAATTGGCCATATTAACATCTACTGAAATGACAGGAATGTCAGATTTTAGTTGCTGTTATATTTTACATTATATTTTCTGGTTTGTGTGTTTTTAAGTAAAAATAGTTCAGTATATTATCTTTGCCTTCTACGTTGTTATTTATTTTGTTTTTTCTGATGATGTACAAATATTTATATTATGTATTCAGTTCTTTTAGTAGTTAATATGTTAATGAAAACTAAATTATTTAGTATTTATTTTTGTCATGTTATAAAAAAATAAGTAAACTTCTACTTCCCTCCACATCATCTTTAATAGCCAATATATTTATTTTTAATTAATTAATTCTTTTAGAGACAGAGTCTTGCTATGTAACCCAGACTGACTTGAATTGACAATCCTCCTGCCTTCTCCTCCTGAGTGCCAGGATTACAGGTGTGTGCCACCACAGATATAGATGGTTTTAGTAACTTGCTTACTTTTTATTGTGTATATTTTGATTATTTAGATATAGCTCTATTACTTTAAATATCAGACTTAAATGATCTATTTTTACCCTACCTACAAAAGATATGGAAGCCAGTACTTATTCATTGCCTCTCAACACTTTGTACCATTTCTTTTCATATTGTAACTCTTCCCTTTTACTATCTTATCTGTTGGTTATATTATTTATAAATTGTCAAGGTTTTTTCTTACTCTTTTTTTAATTGTCATATTATTATTGCACTATTCAGGTACATTGTGACATTTAGAAAAGTTCTTACACTATATCATAGTTGAATTCATCCCCTCCATCATTCTCCTTTATCCTTCCTCCCTCCATTCCTGAAATAGTTTCAACTGGTCTCATTTTTCCATTTTCATATATGAATACATAATATTCAACCATATTCACCTTCCTGTGCCCTAAGATTTTTTCAATGATCATTATATTTCACGATCATGTACTGTTTACAAAAAACCATGTGGCTTAGAAATGTGAAGGAAACAAATATGATAAAGGCATAATTCTCCAGTAGTTCTTGGCGTGGTCCTAAGTAGTGTTAGCACTTTGGCCAAAGTTGTTCCTCAAATAGCTTCTTCCAGGAGCACTGATTGGAACCACATTGTTGTGACCCTACTGGTTTTTCTACTGATGTTGTACTTGGATCAATCTTACTTGGGCATGACATTTTTGGATCAAATTTTCTTTCTTTAAAGATGTTTTGTGCTTTTCATCAAATGTCCTGTGGGCTTCCAACCTATGAAGAGTATGAAGCCATGCAGGAATTATTCCCATGTTTAAGTGATTTATCTTTTTGTGTATGTACCCTAAAGGTTATTTTTTAAAAGAATTTTATGAAAGATTTAAAATATATACGTAAGGATTATTTCCTTTCCTCAGAAGCCAGTGGCATTTCTAAGATGTGCTTCACTTTTGCTTGTTCATACTAGCTTTTTGTGGGTGGCAGGATACGTTCTTTTCCTCTACAGATTCAAGTTACATTGATGCAATCTCTTAATGCCTTCCTTTTCCATTTGTGTAGCTCTCTTACTTAAAGCTGACAAATATTTCTATGCTGCCTCTATTTCTCTTTCATGTCTTCTTTTTTGTTAAAATTTTAACTTTTTATTTGGCTTGCTCTTTTCACTGCTGACTTTCTCATCCCCTAATGTGTTTTCATCAAGCACCATTCTTTATGCTTCAGTGAGATCTTTATTAATGCAGTGGGTCTTTTTGCAGAGTTTCCTGTGCTCAGAGGGCAGGGCACAGTTTCCCATGCTGTGCTTTGTTAGCTAGTGTCCACCAAACCCTTGTTTTTGATAATTTCAGCAGTTTCTTTCTTTTCATAAAGATATATTTGACTATTGCTTGGTGGCACCATTTTTTTCTTGTACTTGTTCCTGTATCTCTTTCTCCCTTTTTATTTTATTTTACTTTCTCTGGTGCTAAGGATTGAACTAAGGACCTTATGTGAACTCCCAGTCTGTTTTTTCCCCTTTAAGTATTTTTTAAATAATTTTTTTGTTTTTGTTTTGCTTTTTTTTTCTTTTTGCTGTTGGTGGTTGTGATAACTCCTCCTCTTCTTCCTCTTCTTCTTCTCTTATTTCTTTGCCTCCCCTTCTTCTCCTCTTTGTCCTCCTTATCCTCATTTTCTCTTTCTTTTCTTTCTTCTTTCCCCCTCATACCTCCTCATTATCACCTCCTCTTCTTCTTTCTTCTTCATTGTATTATTATTAATTTACTGTCTTTTAATGACTTGCACTTTGGGAGAAAATATTTGCAGATTTGTATCAAGGAGAAACAAGAGCAGTAATATCCCAAGCTTTCTAGAATTGTCGTTGGTTTATTATGAGGTGAAGTGGGGTGTGTGTGTGTGTGTGTGTGTGTGTGTGTGTGTGTGTGGAGGCCTCTATCTTTTCCAAAATAATAATGGTCAGCCTCACTGCTCTTTGATATTCATAGCATTTGGTAGCCCTTCTGCAAATCATTTTGATTTAGATTATAGATTTTTCCTAGTATTTGGGTTTGCATTTCTTTTATTCATTCTTATTTTTAAAGTGGTAATTTCTGAGAAGAAAGGCACAAAACTTTACTATATTATCTTAAATCTAAAATTAAATTCCTTTTCTCATATCTTGTATTTGTACTTTTTTAACCTGGAGAATAAGAGTGTATGGTGCTGTATTTGTTTAGCTTGATGCTTTTGTTGTCTCTGCAAACATCTACTTTTTCTTCACTGCACCCCACTTGCAGTATTACTTACATGTCTTTGGAAACCCTCAAATTGACATGCTACCTGCCCTGTGAACTTTCAATACAGAATGCACCCTTGTTTCTTTTGAGTAGTTTGGCACTTACATGGAGCTTCTGTAACAAACACACCCCAAACACATAAATGAAAGTCTATAACCCACTTGAGTAAAGTACAAGACAGGTGTTACTTGACTGGCAGGTTGTTCTTTGATAATTAGATTCTGCCATTTACATGACTTCCAAGTGCTTGTCTGCATCAAACCAGCAAAAGGAGGAAAAGCTTGGAGAAATAGCAACAGAAGCCTTAATAAGGCTGGACTTCAGTGGAAACACATCCCTTCTTATGCTGTACTGTCAAGCACTGACTAGAAGAGATTACAAGCAATGTAGTCCTGCTTGTGCGAATAGGAAATAGAGTAGATGAAGGGTGGGAGTTTGGTGAATAGCTACCCAGGTAATTGCTCCCTAGCTTGCCCATTATAAATTCCAAATAGCCAAACTGAATATTTCTAGCCAAGTTAGTCTTTTCATTAATTCACAAATATTCATTATCTTCTTTCTGCATTCCAACTACACAAGAGTCATACAGAGGATGTTGTGTTATCAGTCAAAATGGATTTGCCAGTAGAAGTCAGTTCTTCCAGATAACTTTCAGTGCATTTTTCTCAATTCATAAGTGCACCTGTATGACAAAGGGAATTCAATGACCACTGTTTCAAAATGCACTTTAAATAGTTGAGTCCACTCAGCTTAATTAAATGCAAAAGGCCTAAGTGATGTTTAGATTTAGATAAGGGCAATTCCACAGAATCAGAAGTTGTTTTAATGTTCAATTTTTTTGTAACAAAATCCAAATTAACTCTTAACATCTGAGTATAGTAGACCCTTGGTAGCCATCGGGTACCACCATTGAGGAAAAGCCTGAGACGCTCAGGATGCACAAACCTTATACTCAAAAATAGCTCCAATTTACCTGTCCCATACATGCAGCAGGTCTGAGCATCCAGAACTTGAAACTGAGTGAAATAGGGTACATTTGTGTCACAAAATTACTATTGTGCATATTAATACTGCTTACTCAAAACCAGAACTTATTTCATGCTTTTTGTGTTGAATACTGTGGATGCTCAATTATTTGTTTCCCATCAGGCTACCCAACTTCCACTAAAGACATGCCACCTTTCCACCCAATTTCTACTCTATCACTTAAGTTAAGCACAGTACATGCCCTTTCTAGTTTGGAAGGATTATCATAACTTTTACCTTGTTTGCAGGGGACAGCATTTGGGTTTTTTTGGAGTTATATTTTCACAAAGTTAAAGGCAGGGATCACACAATGAGAATAGCACAGGGCTGATTAAGAGCTCTACATAAACTGAGTTGTGTAATGTACACACAAAATTTAAGAGTTGAAATTTCTTTTGGTTAATTGTTTTGACTGTGCTTGTTCAAAACCACATGTAATAAATCCATAAATGGTGGGGGGTTATTCTAGTCAAGTGGAGGGCATTCACCGCCTTGCCTTCTCACCCTTCCCTATTAAAATATACCAACCCTGCTACATAGGAGATAAAAGGGGATCTTAATTGTTTTAGTTGAATTCTCCTACTAAACCACCTGCACCACTAGAATTTATTTTATAAATACTCTTCCTTTTCATACTTCCCAGGTAGAAATAGCTCAGAGAAAATCATTTCTAATTTGCCACTTGAGAGATAGCACTGTGTTCAGTATTATATACTTGGAAACAAAGACACCATAACAACCCCTGGGGTATATACAGGAAAAGGCTGCAAAAGCCACGAACCACTTCAAGGCTGTTCCTGAGACCCTGGGAAGTCCCCAGCTCCCACTATGACCACTTTTCCTCTCTTCCTCCATCGTTTCTATCAATTTTAAATGTATGCATGAGCTGGCATCTTTCCTATTTCATAATATGCCTTAGAAAAAAGCATTCATGTTTTGAATCAGGTCTGTTCAGGTTTTTATTTCCTTTTTTGTACTACTACATTTTTGGTAATATTTATTATAATCAGATTGTTTTAAGTGGAAAGAACCCACTATATGTTTTTCAAATCTGGACCTAAATATCATAGCTATTTTATTGGGAAAGAGTAATGCTTCTTTTAATAGTTCATTTTATTTATTTACATACATTTTTCTCATTTCATCCTCATTATAATGACATGAGCTGGGGATTATTATTCCACATTTGACTGAAAGGTAGAAAGGGACAATAAACTTCCTATGATCAAATATCTATCTCACAGGATGAAGGTGGGAATTGAACCCCCAGCGGTAGCCATTATCCTGAGCATGTTTTTTTCTAATAAAATGAAGCAGTACAAGCTCACTAATAGAAGGATGACGCATTCTTCCCCTTCCTCTGTATGTGGCTAAAGTAATGAGCTTTCAGGTTCACACTTTTTAAAACCATCAGGCTTTCCCTGCAATTGTTATAGTGATGCCTTTTGGTGAATGTTTTGAACATTGTTCACAGCTGAGAGGGGCTCAGTGGCTGGAGAAGGGCCACAGGTAAACACAAGAAAACTTGGGAAAACACAGCCATTCTGACTGCAGTGTTGGCTTCAGGCCACAGGGCACACAATGAGTTGCTTCATTTTCCATGGGGAACCCATTGCTGCCCAGTGAGGCTTTCTTTGTGACAGCATGAGCCTTTGCAATTAGATGGAATGATTGTACCCCAGAGGGCTCAGCCTCTTGACATCTTTTGTGCAGAGGAGCAAGGCCCATAAGGACTTATTACATAATACAATTGTAATAATTAAAATAAAGACCAATGGCCTAAGTGGCAGCTGAGGTTGCTAAATGTAATCTGCACTGCTCAGCCTACTGTTCCTTAATTTACTATGACCTTCTATTCTTCTAGGGTGACAGAGAAGCTGAGCTGGGACTGCCCTTTTCTCCTCTGTGTGACAGAAAGTCAACCATGGTTGCTCAGTCACAAGTAGGTACGTGTTTGCCAGCCATTTAGAGGGAAGGAAATACCAGATGGGAGGTCCGTAAGAGGGAGCACAGATGCTCTCAAGGATTCTTTGGCTGGGACAGACACTGGCTTCATTCTGCCATGCCGTGTGCATGGCTTTGGCTGCTTGGGTTGACGGAGCACTTCATTCTTCTTGCAATGTGGCTGGTTGCTAGGGAAATTAGATGCTGATACTCTGGTGTCTCTGTCAAAGTCTGCCAAGAGAAAAGGGGCTTCAACTTTCCCAGGAGATGATGAGTAGGAAGCCCTTTCTGCTTCAGCGTCTCTGTTCTACATGTCATACTAGAAGTTGCCAATGCATTTCTCCTCATTGATGCTTCTTCTACCCCTGAGTTCAGGACAGCCCCATTTTCTGAATGATCCTGCTTCCAAGAGTGGCTCTTTTAAAAATTTTTTTCTTTCTTCCTTCCTTCCTTCCTTTTCTAAAAAAACACTTTTGGGGAGTAAGGATAATTTTTGTACTGTTAATCACCATAATATTATGCATCATTAAAATTCTTAGCTATAGGAGAGAGCACCAGTGACATATACAAAATTAAATGTTATCAGTCATCTCTACCTTTGAAAAGTTTGAGGTCATTTAAATTTTAATTTACTAAGGGTTTTTACTTGCATTTTGCATGCTTCTTCATTTTTAATGATAATAACAATAACAATAATAAGTCCCTGTTTGGTGTTGGGCACTGTTAGGCATTACAGAAGATGTTATTTAAAGAGAAAACAATCAACAACAAAAGAGCAAAGTACATCCATGGTACCTGCTCTCAAAGACATTAGGCTGTTATTGGGTGGTGGGCAAAATGTTATGAAAACAAAAATTTATTAGAGCATTAACATGTTAAGATAGTATTGTGAGCATATTACAATGGAATACAAAACAGTAAGTGAACCCTTAGAGCCAGGTAGTCCTCAAAGATTTATTGAGGGGTAATATTTGAGTTACATCCTAGGAAGGAAGCAGGCAGTGTATAAACAAATAGTGATATGTGTAAGTGATGAGTTAGGGGTGGTGGAAGGGCATTCTGGGCAGAAGATAGAGCATATAAAACACATTGAAATTAAAACCTGCCTACTATGGTGAGCAGATTCTAAACAGCTCCACACAGCAGGAGCAGTTGGCAGGGAGTAGAATGTAGAGAGCAACATGTCTAGAAAGAAAATCAGGCAGAGATTTTATACTGTGTTAAGTACAGCACATGCTTACACTTTATATGAAATGAGAACATATCTAAAGAATTTTATGTAAAGTTAAAGGACATATAACTTTATGCTTTAGCCTGTGGGCTAGATATGACCCACCACCTGTTCTTTTAAATAAAGCTTGATTATAACACAGCTTAGTCCATTCATTTACGTGATGCTATGGACTATAGGTGGCAGACTTGAGTACTTTCCATAGAGATGATACAGCGCCCCAGCAGATCTTCTGCGGAAATTTGCCAACCCCTGTTTTAAAAATATCTGCCTGTTAGTATCATGGAGGATTAATTGAGGGCTTGAGTAAGATTAGAAGTGAGGAAACCAGTTGACTCTCTCTTACAGGAATATAGGGAATGATGAAGAATGTCATAATTGAGGTGGCAACAGGGACTCTCCAGAAGAGAGATAGCACGCAAGGTGTGAAGGATGTGGCTGGATACAATGCTCAGAGGAAGTTAAGACTTTATATTAAGTAGATGGAGCATGATCACATTTATACTAGTTGGGAGAAATGTTAATGAATTAGTTCTCCTTTGGACATGTTGACTTTAACTTGGGGTGAAAATGGTATCATCACATACTCTAGTTTGAGCTCAGAGTTAGACTGCAATTAACTACAACACAAATATGGCTATCACTGTTTCCCTATAAGGATACTACTGATATGTGGCTAAAATAGTTCTTGTTTTATCAATTATGTTGTAGAATTTTTAGTATCCTTCACTGCTGAGCATAAGTGCCAATATCACTGCAACTTCAGTCATTGCAAAAACTAAATACGAAGTCATACATACCCAGACACCCACTTCAGAGGATGTAGGAGGTATTTTCTTTGGCTGGTATTTCCTTTCCTTCCAACTTTCATGCAGCTGTGTAGTGAATTACTACCCTTCCCATTAGCTCCAGCTCATGTATTTTCACCCTGCATGTCACAGAGCATGTGGGTGGTTTTGAGCTGTTGACAATCACTCTAGCCCAACTTCAGCTGTCTGCTTAGTGTGGAACCCTTCAAAAGCATCATTCCAGTTATGAGTTCTCTCCTATTTTCCAACTCTTTTCTTCCAACTCTGTTTACTGCCTATCCAAATGTGTGGATAGAAACCCATCATTTTTCCACTGTCATTTCCCCATGTCCTTATTTTGTTGCTGGAGCCTCTTGGCCAGATCCCCCAAAACCAACACCACTTCCTACAGTAAGGTACTTGTGCTTCCTTTGGTTGCCACCTTACAATGGCACTGGTTTCCACCTCACAATGGCACTGGTTTCCACCTCTTTTGCTTTCTGTTGCAATAGATTCCAACAAGATTGTCCCAACCTCATTCTCTCCTGCTCACTCCCTTCCCATCCATCTTGCCAACATGAACTTCCCAAAAGAACTTTTTAACAAATATTATTAATATGTTACCTGAACATCTTCAGGGCTTCTTGTGCCCCTCTAAGTCCCAACTCCTTAAAACCCTCCCTGCCTGAACTGTGGATGACCCACCTTCCCAAGCTTTCTTTCCCAAGCCCAGAAGAATCCATTATTTCCAATCATTGCTGAGACACTCATGCACATTTTTACCTCTCTTCCACCTTTCCTGATTCACCCCTCTGCACAGAACAAATAGCCATATCTTCTATTCATTCTTAAGGGCTCCACTCAAACATGACAGCCTTCATAAAGCTGTTCACAGGCCTCACAGTGGGAAACAAATGTCTCCTCTCCCTTCCTTTCCCAGGAGCCTTCATCTGGACTTCTCCTCTGTCCCTCCATATACTATAGGGATCATTTTGTATTCGTTTCATCTCCTATAAATTCCTTAAGGGCAGACAGGTTTTGTATTCATCTTAGTCTTTTATACAACTCCTATCATAGTGCTATTACATAGCTGGATTAAATATTATTTTTAAGCATTTAGTTGAATTACCTATTGAAAAGTCATCAGTAAGTTATGTAAGAGAAATTTAACTGACTCATGACATTCAAATCAGAGAATAAATTATAGGAATAAGACCCAACTCTTAATCTATTCTGGAGCTTCTATATGTGAATTTTTGAAGAAAGGAAAGAGATTGGTTTCTACTGGAAAATGTGAAGTGGCCCTGTAACTATGTTCTTCTTCTGAGGCATTACTGCTTCCCTGCAGGTTTTATTGATTTTATCGTGGAACCCACCTTCACTGTGCTCACTGACATGACTGAAAAGATTGTGAGTCCTTTAATTGATGAAACCTCCCAAACGAGTGGGACAGGACAGAGGCGCTCAAGGTCAGTGGGGAAGTTTGAGGGTTGGGGGATGGCCTGTCCATAGCATAGAATTCTCCTGTTGGTGGGGATGGTGGTGGTATTTCATAACGGTGCTCACTTTGCCTCCTTTTATGAGTTTTGTCTGCCTCCTTCCGTAGAGAAATTGAAGTTGTGCTCTCTGTGCTCTCCAGGCTTGTCAGAAAGGGGTGACCAAGGTTCAGATTATGACTGGCAGGTACCTGGTCCTCCATTCTTTCCTAGCCTTTGCTTCTGGCAGCACCAATAGCTACCCTTTCTCTCACTCTGCCCTGACAGTCCTTGCTCTTGATTCTGCAAAAAGACAGTGCTGATCAGAGTTAGTACAAGAAATAAAACAGATTCATTCTTAAGTTCAAGAAGAAAATGAAAAAACCCTGAACATTTTCAATCACTTATCACCTTCTGCAATAGCATCATTATATTGAGTACAGAATAACAAAGAGTTAAGACTCTGGAGCCAGAGTACCTGGGTTAAAATCCTGACTTTATCACTTATTATCCATTTGGTCTCAAGTTACTTCAGCTTCCTCATCTGAGAAATGTGAATTTTAATACTCATAGACTTCTGGGAAGATTAAGTGAGTTGTTCAGTGTTTATAAACTCCTCAGAATAGAGTAGTACAGAGGAAATGCCAGCTATGTTAAAGGTACCACCTAGTCTTTTTTGGCAGTACTACCACCACTGCTGCTACCATAACTGCTACTACTGTTACTTCTACTATTAGTACATCACCATTACTGGTACTGCTAATATTAGCACCACTGTTACTATGACTACTACTGTAACAACAAACACTATTAGTACTACTACTATTGATACAGCTATTACTATTGGACCGTGATGGCAACTGTTCTTCACATCCATGTAAAACGTTGGGCTTTGTCATAAATGAGAAAGAATGTAGAATAAAGAAGAAAAAGAGAAGGAGAGGGCAGGAAAAGAAATGAATAGGAGGTAAGGCAGGAGGAACATTATAAGGACAGTGGGACCCATGGGATGCTCAAGATGAATGGACCCTCATTGAGGATGTTCACAAAGAAGACAGAAGCCCATGCCCAAGTTCCAGTAGTCCCCTAGCTCTTCAAACACTGGCTATAAAATATATTCTGTTTATGTAGTAAGTCTTCATGGTCATTTGGTAGGCTCATGTACACTTAAAATAAGGTCTTTTGCATGACCTGGTCTCCCACAATCTCCAGGCTATCTGTGCCTATCTGCCTTCTGCAAGCAATGTAAGGAAATTATTACTTCTCCTGGACTTAGAGAACCAGGATCAGAGGGATCTCAATTCTAGGAGGAGGGTGGAGCTGGAGAGAAAGAAGAACAAATCACTAGGCAACTTGGAAAAGTGCTCAGTGTGGAAGCAGGTAGATTTCTTCATTTTAGAGAATAGACTAGAAAAAATTAATGTTAAGAAATTCTAGTTATTAGAAAAGAGAAGAGACCAACTAGCAGAGAACTATGAGCAATATGGAGACATAAATGTACAATGTTAACATTTTTCTTCTGAAAAGTTAGAATCTCCACCCTGTCACAAATGCAAAATAGGATAATTACTAAACCTCAGGACCAGGAATTTCATAACAATGACTTGACGAGTGCTGATCATTCCTCTCTTAGGTTTGCTCATTGCACACATTTTTTTAATGCTCCTCTTTGATATGATCATTTTTTTCCTCCAGTTTGAACAACATCAATTCATCAGATGCAAAGCGATCAGGTGTCAAGAGCTCTGGGTCAGAAGGAAGTGCTCCTATCAACAATGCTGTCATCCCTATTGACTATAAGAGTTTTAAGGCCACTTGGACCGAGGTGGTTCACATCAACCGGGAGAGATGGAGGGCGAAGGTGCCCAAAGGTAACATGCTATAAGAGAAGAATCTTCCAGGAGACCTGTCCAAACCAACTCCATACCCCACTCATAAAGCAAAAGGTTGCTGTCCCTGATTTATGGGTGTTGCAAATAAAGGAGAATCACTCAGAGTGCTGAAGTTGCTGAACTCTAGAGTCTCCCATCTTTCGATCATCATTCTATCCAGCACTCAATGCATTCTCTTTCTCTTCCTATAAAGCCACCAATACCATTATGGAGGCCACATCCTTGTGACCTTATCTAATTTTCATTACTTCCCAAAGGCCCCACCTCAAACAACATACGCATGTAGGGATTCAGATTCCCTACACATTCAAACCACAGCAGTGGAAGAACATGTTCTGGCAGTCTTTCCCCACATCATTGTGAGGAGGGTCTGCCTCTAGTGTAGTAGAGAAATAGCCTCCAAGTTGAGTTTACTCAGCCTTGGACAAAATCCTGTCCAAGTAGCTGCTCATTACAGATGAGGGAAAGGGTTCAGATATATGGTGCTTTTAGGATATTATTGAACCTTTATCATTTGGGGACAGGTGTTGCACCCCTGAGCTATGAAGGGGGTCAACACCTCTTCCCTATTTAAAGTGTACCCTTTCATAGTGCATTCAAATGCTTTAAGCATTTAAATCCTCCCTGTTGGCAGGCTTGCAAGCAGCAATGACAGCTACTGCATCATCTCCAAAGAGGAGCTCTCTCATAATCAATTACACTCATTACACTTGAAAATCTAATTCGTGACAACACACAATTTAAAGTGGTACTTCAAGATAATTTGTTTGTAATTATCTAGCTTACTAAAATTATCTTCTGAAGCTAATCACCTAGGGAAGCATTAGATAATTTCTTATCCAAAGGAAACTTGGCCCTTTAAAAAGTACAGATAAACAGTTCATAATTATAGAAAATGTATTAGGTATGCAGGTAGAGACATGCCTAAGCTATTTTAGCAACATGAAAGGACTTGTAAATAACCCTGCTTGGGGTCTTGGAAAGGTCTCTTGTAGCCTTGTAGCCAGGACTTGGAGGACACATGAGGTTGACCTGAGGATGTATTAGAAATAGAACAAGGATAAAGGAGATAACACACTAAAAACTGTTGAACAAAACAGGGCAGTGAGGAAAAGGACAGTAATAAAGGGGGTTACACTGATTAAAGTACAATATAATTACAGGTAAAATACTCAGGCAAAACCCCAGTGAACAATAAACATTAACTTAAACAGTTAAGGACAGGAATGAAAGCAGGTGTACATAAGTGCAGAGCATGGTTTATAGATATTTGTGGGAGGATAATTTGGTGATTGAGTCCAATCTCTGTTGGGAGGGATGTAATTTTTGGATGATGAGGGCTCTATTCCACCCTAATCTTATAGCTGCTTTCTGTTAGCCATTTTTATAAGTCATATCACCACAGATAGTTTGAAATGGGGAACAAAAAATAAACTATGAGATTTGCATTCCACCAGTCTAGAGGTGCAGGAGTGCCAAGGATGATAAATCTAAAACCTGTAAAGTAAATTTTCTGAGTATGTGCTGTCATTGGAACTTGTTAGCATGTGCAAATTAACAGTGCTTTTACCTATTTTTTCACTGTAGGACAACTTTATTGATGCTATAAGTTCATCTTGATATTATAAGTGAATCTGATAGTAATGGAAAAAACCACCTCCTATTGATGTATTTTATGTGCTTGCTTATTTTGTCTATTTATTTTGAGTAGTATCTCTTAGGATACTGCATGGCTGGTTACAGTAATATCAGCAATATCAGACCTAACCCAGGTAAATGTCTAGTAGAAAAGCTGAAGAGAATTGCAGAGTGACCTGCAGGGAGGTGGTTGCTGTAGAGAAAAGAATCATGCAGTGAAGCAAGTTCATGTCTGATTTGCTCACAATGTCATAAGAGTTACCATTCATTAATTTAAATATTAATTGTTCATGTCAACTGCCCTTGAGCAAAAGCAAATTTGATTCTGAAATGTATCCTCTCCAGTTTTTTTTTTTGCTACATTTTCCATGGAAAATTGGTCTGACTCAGTTGTCAAAAGAATTTTTCTTGCTCAGGTAGTTTTTTATGGTCTTTTGTAGCAAATCAGAATTTAAGGTCTTCAGTTTTTAGCAAAATTATTTTCAGCTTTGAGATAATTTGAATGTTGAAAGATTACCATAAGTTCAGTAGAGTTTTGTAAATTATTTCCCTAATAGTGAGTTCTGAGTATGAATGAATTCTTCTCCCCCTTGCCTCAGTTTCTTTCTGTGTATAGAAGAGTAGTCATCTTTTATTCAAGTGTATTAGTAGTTAAGGAAGTAACACTTATCAAATAGCTTTTTTAGAATAGGATCTGTATATTTTCTTTGTTTTGTGCTAATCTACATTGCTGAAGATGGACTATGTATAAAAAAGCCTACATTGATAGTATAAAGTACACCCATGGGATCCGTTGAGTCAACAAATATTTCATGAGTGTATGCTACGTATGAGGTACTATGCCAAGCAGGAATTGAGATGACATTTGACCTCATGTCCCTTGTGCACTGCAGTCTACTGAAAATGCTATCTTGACGTGCTCTTCTGCAAGAGCATTCTTTCTTTCTTTCTTTCTTTTATGGTAGTACTGGGGTTTAAACTCAGGACTTCCTGATTGCTAGGCAAGCACTCTACTACTTGAACCATACCTCCAGCCCTTTTTGCTCTGGTTATTCCAGTTATTTTGTTTTGATCATAGGGTCCTGTTTTTTGCCCTGATTGGCCTGGACTGCAAACCTCCTATTTTAAGTTTCCCACTGTCCTTAATTTAACAGGTGCACATCACTGTGACAAGCTATTGGTTGAGTAGGGGTCTCACTAATTTTTTCTCACAGCTTATGTGCAACCACAATCCTCCCAATCTCAGCCTTCTAAATAGCTGTGATTATAGGCATGAGCTACCAGTGCCTACCTCAATCTGACTTAAATTAGTCCAAAATGCACCCAAAACACTTAGTAAATACCTTAGGTCATTTTAGCATACCAATTCCCCATGCAAATTATTATTGTTGATTTTTTTTTCTAAAAGGGCAACTTTTCTAATAGCATGGCTCTTTGTTCTCTTTTATCTGCCTTTCCTAACTTCTTGTGAATGCAGAGGAGAAGGCTAAGAAGGAAGCAGAGGAAAAGGCTCGCCTGGCTGCAGAGGAGAAGCAAAAGGAAATGGAAGCCAAAACCCAGACTGAAGAAGGTGCATCCAACAAAGCTGAGAAAAAGACATCTGGAGAAACTATGAATCAAGTCAATGGAACACGGACAAACAAAAGTGATAACCCTCAAGGGAAGAACCCCAAAGACGAGAAGTCATCAGGAGAAAAGCAACAGAATGGTGAGGACTGTGCTGGCTGGTGAAAGGCTGTTTTGGGGGTGTTAATGATGTGATGAATGGAAACTGGCAAACACATTCCCCATGCTGGCAGCTTGCAGGGCTTCCCTGGTCCTGCAGGGATGCCATCAGGATCCCATGAGAAACAGCCACCAGTTCACCTGTGCTTTTCTCTATGGAAGGATGTATACCTTTCCGGCCTCCCCAGCAACTCCACAGACTCTATCCAATACCCCCTTGCCCACTAGGTGCAAATTAGTACTCACAACACCAGCACAGTTCTGAAAGCTTGCTGCCAAAATGGGTGGACAGAAAGTCAATTTCCAAAATGCACCATGTCCCTAGCAGGACTAGGCTGCAGGTCTGCCTGAGGTCTATTCTTATAGCATGTATCTATAAATCATTGTACGTGTTAATGTGGGTGACCACATTCTGATTTACCTATAGTTGAGGATTTCCTGGGATGCAGATCTTTCAGTTTTAAAACCAAAAATGCTCTAGTCAAACTGAGGTGAGATGGCTATCATAATTCACAGATAAATTGATGGTTTCTTATAGTTAGTGTAATAAGTATTTATTAATTAACAATTACATCAAGGTCTGTAGTAGGCATGTAGGGATTTAGAAATGGAAAGATCACAGAAAGCCCATGATGTTGTAAAGATATAGACATCCTCACATGTAACACTGGTGAAATGTGGGCAAATAGAAATAGGGGTGTGGCAGAAATAGAGTAGCCAGGAATCATATGCAAAGAAAGAGACATCAGCTTTGTTGGGATTGGGGACTGTGTAATGGAATGAATGTCAGAGAAGTCTTCAAGAGGAGGTAGCATCCGAGCTGGGTTTTAAAAGCTAAAGTTTGCTGGTCATAAGGCAGCAAGCCTTCTCAGCCAGAGAGAACAGATGAGCAGTGAACAGGGCATGGAATTGGACCTGTGTTTGGGGAAGTATAGAAAGTTCAGACTCTGCAGCTTGTAAGCACCGGGTTGTGGTTGGGTATCAGGATAGCTTTATGGTTAAACATACCTGGATTCAAGCCATAGTTCTGCCTTCTTTGGGTGGCTTTGGCCAGATTACTTAACCTTTTACTACTCTATAAAATGTGCACAATATCTGTTCACAGTATAGACCTCCTATGAGCCTTCAACAATAATCATGTTAGAAAAAAAACCAAAGAAAATAACAGCAAATAGTATTTATTGGCTGTACCCCAGATGCTGTTTTAAGCTCTCTCTTTATATAGTCATTTTCTCACCTATCTTGCAGGGCTGGGTGATTTCCTCTAGCTCTAGCTATCATGCTATAGGGCTGGGGAAATGGTAAATAGAAAGTACTTAGCACAACATCCTCCAAGTATTTATAAATTAACATATTATGAGGAAATAAAGTATTAATATCTTAATAACAATAATAACTCATCTCACATTCTAAGAACTTGTATAAAAATCCCTCAATTTACTCCTAAGACCTTTCTAAAAGGTAGAGAAGTCCATCATCCTAACTAGTCCACCCTCCAAGAAGCCTGGTTCTGGAAACTTCTCTTAACTAATTAAACAAGAACTTGCTGTGCTGATCATGTGGGCTTCTTCATACGTCTTATCTGTGTTGAGCTTTGCAACCAGATATGGAAGAACCAGACAGGTACAGGACTTACCTCTCAATCCCGAGATAGTAACAATGGTGTGTCTTGTGGAAAACAAGGGATGGGAAATAGATGCCTGAAAGCTTTACATGCTCAACTCCTCTTCCTAGCTATATCACTCTGCTCAAAGGAAGGCACATACAGAGTGGGAGAGAAGCAAGATGTGTTTCTTTCCCCTAATTTTGCTTGTATTAGAGTGGGTTAAAACTGTCTTTCCCTTGATAGAAATAGTAGTCATAATAGCCCTACCATTTATTGAATTCTTAACATGCCAGAGGCTGTACTTGAGATTTTACCTCAAATTATATTAAAATACTGACAACTTCATCAGGTATAGAAATTTAGTCCCATCTTGCAGTTGGGAAAATTGAGACTAAGAGAGGTTAAGCCACTTGCTTAAGGTCAAACAAGCATTAAACAGAGAGCTACTTAATCATTAAGTATATTTAAGTAGGCTAAACTCAGTTTTATGTGAGTCTGTATTCTCTGTTTCTTAACCAGCAAGTGCTTACAATTTGCCAGGCATGGTACTATCAAAGGGAGGGGGGAATCAGAGACACATGTGTATAAAAAGCTCATTATCTATTCCAGAGCTTTGCACATTTTTCTGCAATGGGCCAGATAGCAAATATTTTTTACTTTGTGGGCCATATGGTCTCTATTGCAACCATTCAACACTGCCGTTTAGTCTGAAAAAAGCTAAAGGTGATTTATAAACAAATGAGCAAGGCTGTATTCCAAAAAAATTTTATTAGTGGAAAGTGAAATTTGAATTCTATTTAGTGTTGATATCACAAAATCTTTTTTCTCCAATCCTTTAGAAATGTTAAAGTCATTTTTAGCCCATAGATCAGGCAGTAAGGCCAGGTCTGATATATGGGTTGTGATTTGCTAACCCTTGGTTTAGTTTGTGAGAGAAATCAGTGAATACAAACAAGCTAATCACAGAAAAAGATTGTAAATTCTACAAAGACTCAGAGAGGACAGTAATTCATTTTGAAGATGATTGGGGAGAAAGCCTGAAACACAAAACAGGAGTGCTTCAACTAGGTTGGTTTGATTTCACAACTATGTTTATTTCCCAAAGTAAGCAGCAGTCTACCATTTCCCTTAAAAATTAAGCATAAAATGAGAGGTGAAAAAGAAATCAATTTAGAGCAATAATAAGAAAGGCTAATGGTGTTGGGGACTTTGTTTCAGCAGCCTAATTAAAATGATTTATAACTGCTAAGAAAGGCTCTTTTGTTTCCCCTGTTTATTGAGTATCAGCTCACATTGGCCATTACTGCATGTACAACCCATGGGAAATTACCTAATGGGTTTTGTTCAGGGAACATCATCAAACAAGCATAGTCCACTTTCCCAGCAGCACCCTTGTTTGTGGGCTGCAAAGGTATTTTCCAGGGCAGGGCCAAAGGACATTGGTTAGAATGGTTCTGGAGGTTGACTCTTCTTGGCAATTACAGGTTCCTCTAAGCTTTGTTCTCCACCAGGGTGGGGGAAGAGGGTGGAGGTGGGGGTCATGGAGGAGAAATGGCCCAAACAATGTATGCACATATGAATAAATGAATAAAGAAAAAAGAAGTCAGCAAGATTATAAGTTAAAAAAAAAAAAAAAAAAAAACCTTCCTCCTTGATCCTCCCCAGCCTGGCTGAGAAAATTGGTTGCATGGCTACTGGCTATGATCCTGCAAACCTGTCTCTGTCAGATTCTCGAAGACAGCCTAGCTAGCTATAGCTGGGAGTGAAACTCTAGCTTGGAACAGCCTGGAAGGCCTAACATAGAGTGTGTCGAGGTGTGAAAACTCATGTAGGGAAGAAGGATCATTTTTCTTTGGGGAACTGATTTAGTTATCTGACTTGAAATTCTTGAGTACATCTCTGTCATCCTTAAACAGGGAAAAGCCAGTATTTGGACTGCTTCATGGGACTCCCCAAGGAACTTTTCTCTTCTGGCATCTGGTGGTAGTAAAGGGCGATGATCATGTCCTCTACTTAAACCCATCATGTATAGACACTGGCTAGCATAAAGCCCTTCTCCTCAGTCCTTCCAACATGTTCACCCCAAACCTGGAGAGTTTATCGACTTCTAATTTAGTTTAGAATTTGTCAAATTAAAAGTACATACTTTACAGATTATACTACAGGTCCGAAGTAGTCTTAAATAACAATTTCTTGTCAGATCTATAGGCCAAAGACATTTAAAAATGGAAACCTTAAATCTAAAGCTCAAGCTTGGAAGGAAGCTGCAAATATAGTGGTTGAGGGCTTGGCCTCTAGAATCAGAACTGTCTGTGTGGTGTATGGCGTTATTTTATTTGTTCATTGGATTTCTAGGCCACAAAATGGGGGTGGTAATTTGAGTTTCAAATCAATTCCCTACAAATCAACTTAAAATTAATTCGTAGGAAAATCAATTGACCATTTGTTCAAAACATCGAATACAAGTGTCTTAAACCATACCTACAATAGCTTCCAGAAACAGTTTTGCCACCAGAGGAAGATGCTGGTGTAAGGTTGGGTCAGAGGCGAGGCCAGGTTAGTGTCTGAGACACCACTGGACAGCCATGCATTCCACATGACATAGTTAGACTGACCAGCATTTGCCCATATGGCTGCAGTGATAACAAGACAAAACTCACATTTGGAAAACATCCTCAGGCTTTTGGTGAGTTGATTATTCACCACTTATGAGGAATCTTTGATGAGTTTGTCTGTTTTCAATAAGAGCACCTTTAGAATGTGATTGTTAGAAGAATTTAATGAAATGGTATGTGTAAGACATTTAGCGTACTGTGTAGCACAAAGTAAAAAATAAATCACTTTCCTCTTACATACTTCTTGCTCGCTCTAATTAGTATTAGGATATTTGTTTTAATAATTATTTGAGGAGTAATGTATTCTTGGCTTATTTATGCTAAAATGAATGTTGCCATTTATAAGATTGGTAAGAAAAATATCCAGAACTTGAAATGCGGCTGAGGGAAAGCATTTATGGCCCTTCAATGTTACACTGGCCCATTAATGAACAAACCTGCCCAAGGGTTATTAAATTATCCTAGACTAGTGGCGGCACCCTTTTTCTATAAAAGGACAGACAGAAATATTCCATCCTTGCAAGTCTCTCTTGCAGCTATTCACCCCTGCTGTTGTGAAATGACAGCAACCACAGATGATAAGTAAATCCTGGATGCTTCTGCAGGCAAATAAAACATTATTGACCCTAACAAGTGGCAGGCCATATTGGCCCATGGAGCATAATTTGTTGACCCCTGCTCTTGAAGAATACAACTGTGTTTAATTTTGCTATTTGCTACTTAATTCATATAACTGTGTAGTTACAAGGTAACCTAGAGATTTTTGACTTGTAGAGAAGATCATCCCAAAGATTATGGTTTTATTGCTTTATGGGATGAAAATGGTTCATCTCTAATTTAGCAGTCTAAAATGCCCATAAATGCCCACTTCCTTAAATGCTCTTGAAACCTTCTTATTACCTCACTGGTTCCCTCATAAATGAATTAATTTACATTTTTGATGTGTATTCATTCTACATTCATAAAAGTAGTATTTTTTAAACTTTTACGAATTACTAATTTCTAAACATCATTGACAAGCTCATTAATTAGAATGCCATTTATAGCTCTATTTTAGAATAACAACTGTCATTGAGTGACATGCCAGATATATTACCTTCAGTACTTGCATACTTTCAATACAATTATCCTCATGCCTTAAAGTAGGTATTATTCACCCCATTTTGCAGATATGAATGTTAAACAGAGAGATGTTAAATAGCTGTTCATTGTTAGAACTTACTTTAAACCAGGTTTTTCCTCACACCACAGACTCACAATAAAACTTAACTGCCTTTCTTAGAAAATAAACACCATTGACTTAAGTACAACCCTGTTTGACAGGAATTTTCAGTTTTAATTTCTGATTATAATCCGATTCCAGAACCTAACGTGGTTACAAAAGATATTTACACTCCTTCGTGACTATTGAATTTTGCTGCACTTTTTTTTACCTTGACAGGTTTAATGATATTTATAACTTCCCCTCAGCTGTATAAATATACTGTTTGTCATGTTTATTACTTTTAGGTGACTTTCAAGATGGTAAGAATAAGACAGACAAGAAGGATCACTCCAACGTCGGAAATGATTCAAAGAAAACAGATGGTAAGAATATTATTCTCATAACTTTTTTCCATAAATGTGCAATTACTACAAACTTGTTAGAATCATATCTAAAATTGAAATAGTGCTTGTTAATATATTCTTTTATTGTAGCCTGAAAAAATGTTTCCTTATATTTAAAGAGCACTGTTAATTCTTTTTCAATAATTTACAAATTATTGCTGTATCTTTTCTTCTCCATCATACTGTCTCCATTGCATTTACTCGTTCTCTCCTTGCTTTCATTTTTATCATTCTAAACATCATAAAATGTTGGATTTGGACTTGCTGATGGTAATGGATGGGATAACATATTCTGCTAATGTATTTAATGAGTTTTGGGTCACAAATTGGGCAACATAGATAGAAAATGTTCCATGTTTTGAGTCTTCACATTTTTTACCTTGATTTGAGTTATTACTTGAGTGAAAAACAAAACCATAATCTGTTCAAAGCAGTTTGACCAGGAATACCAAATCCTAAAGGCACTGACGATGCACAAGCAGATTAGAATGAATTGCATCATAATGTGCTTTGTGAGCATTGCTTTTACTTTTTTTTTATTTCTTTTGTTCATATGTGCATACAATGTTTGGGTCATTTCTCCTCTCTTCCCTCCACCCTCTCTCTTTCCCCCGGCCCCTCCTTCTCCTCCCCACCCCCTCGCTACCAGGCAGAAACTATTTTGCCCTTATCTCTAATTTTGTTGAAGAGAGAGTATAAGCAATAATAGGAAGGACCAAGGGTTTTTGCTAATTGAGATAAGGACAGCTATACAGGGAGTTTACTCGCATTGCTTTCCTGTACATATGTGTTACATTCTAAATTAATTTTTCTCATAAACAACCTTTTACTCTTTCTAAATCCCAGATGTTCAGCGGGACTTGTTGGCACATGCTGTAATCGTAGCTACGTGGGAGGCAAAGATGGGAAGATTGAAGTTCAAAGCCAGCCAGGGCAAAAGTCAACAAGACTCTTGTCTCATAAACAAGCTGGACATGGTGGTGTGTGCCACCTTGCTCTAGTTATGCAGGAGGCAGAGGTAGGAGGATTGAGGTCCAGGCTAGTCTTGGGCAAAATGGAGACCCTCTCTGAAAAATAATTAAAGTAAAAATGGCTGGGGTATGGTTCAAGTAGTAAAGCACTTGCCCAGAAAGCTCAAAGTCTTGAGTTCAAACCCCAGTACTGCAAAAATAAATAAATAAATGAATAAATAAACCTGTATGTTCAAATTACACTGCCTTGCCCTCTTTGAACTAGCAGAATGAGAAACCTGCCCTCACCAGGTACATAACCCTCATCACTGCAGTTGTGACCATGGGTTCTTTCCTAATTTTTCCTTCATTCAGGGACATGATAGTAAGCTAACAATGAAAGTTTCCATAAAATGATTTTTTTGTTGAGTCCCAGACTGTCCTTGAACGTTACCTTCCAAGAGCTATTGTATTTGTTGCTAAGCTTTTGTTTGACAAGTTTTGTTAGAACACCTTTGGAGAACAAATGCTGGGTAATCAAGTTGAGAGTAAGAAGGAATTTGAACACAGCTTCTCACACATCTATTAAACAAAACAAGAAGCAGCCCCTTTAGCTTTCAGCTGTAAGCCACAATCACAGGTTGTCTTTACTTGCGTGCATGATCTCAGTTCTCAAACCTTTTCTTTTAAGATCATTCAAAGAATTCACACTAGGTGTCTTATCACATAATACCTAGGGAACTTACACCTGTGATTTTTTCACCAACTTGCTTATGCAAACAGAAAACACTTAGTGAATGAGCATGCTCTCCTTGAATAATTGTGAGTAAAACAATGAATTACACAGAGATAAAATGACAATTTCTCATCCAAACTTTCTTATGGGAAAGAGCCTCAAGTACCAGAGGCTCTTTGTCATGCATAAATAGAACTAGACTACAAAACATATAATAGAAGAATGATGTCATTTAGACACCTGCCCCATCCTACATTCAGTGACTGCCCCCTACTCCCTGATTTGAATTCTTATAGCATAAGAGCCCTGAATAAATCAAGTCCCAAGCTTGAATATGGAATCTTGAATCTCATCAAAACTGTAAATTGTATGGTAAATAGCTGCTATAATATCATGTGGGAATTGCATATAAATTTTATCATCTTCAGCTTTTTTAGGGGGGGTGATGAAATAGGTTCTCAGTTCTATGACCCAAATAAGTGGAAACTTTGATTATCTAAAGATCAGGATTCTTGATATCATGGAGCAGTAAATAGGCAACAGTAAATAAAATAAAGACAAGCTTTGACCTCCATTCCTTTTCTCCATCCATAACCGCAGACTTCAAGTCTATATGTTAACATAGACAGGAATAAGACTGTACTTTGATTTCATTGGTGAACTAGCATCACCTCAGTGGTCATCACTACATCAGTGCCAACAAGATTTAAATCTCTGAACTTCAGTGGCTTACAGCATTTTAGTACCAAGTGTAATGGTAATTCTTGGTGATGTGAAGTGGAAAAGAATTTGGTGAGTCTAACCTGCCCTTTCCTTTTTGCTCATTTAAGCCATTTGCTTTAGAAAATTATAAAAATAGAATACATAGAACAATATATCTATTGATTTTTTTTAAATATATATATAATAGAAATAACATTTCCAACATTTCTTTTTAGTTGATCTTATTATGTTTGATGACCAGGAGTACTTAAATTAACTTTTTAATGACCCTATTCCTATTCCAGCCCCAAGAACCATTGGTAGCTAACTCCCTGTAATTTTTCAGAGGGAGTATTCAGATACAATTTATACCCACTGTGATCTAACCCACCGTGGTTTATAGTTGTTGCATTATAAACATTCAGAGAGAAATTCAGTTGGTTTTTCCCAGACTCTCAAGATGCTGGGCATGCACAGAGGAAATGAGTATGATGAAAGGGGAAATTACACCCTGGCATAATGGACACACTGCACTTACACATTATCTCTGTCAGGCTGTGGAGGCCTCTTTAGTACCCTGCAGCAATAATTTTCTAACTGAGTTCAAAGATTGGATGTCCTTTGAAAGCACCTTGCTTACCTCTGAGAAATGTACTGACATAACAAAGGTCTAAGTCTCTGAGCCAAGATTTCTTCCAGGGTGTAAAGTTTTCTGCTGTCATTGGGAGATTTCAAGAGTACCAAGCAAATGAAATTTTTTAGTACATTACTAGCCATGTTTGTAATAGCATTGCCTCTTGGACTTGTCATAATTTATTATGGTTGCTCAAAAATACAAACTTGCCCTTTTACTTGACCATGTTAATAGACATAAGAGATAGCCAACTTTTGTTCTCTCAAAAGAGTTATTTATAACTAGACCCACACACACATACACAGTTATTAGCCAAGCCTCAGGGAGGTAGTTCAGCCGATGTTTCTCCTTCACTGACTATTACAGAAATTGGAATTCTTATGGATGTTGGTTCATGAAATTTACAAGCAAACTTTGAATAGCAGAAAGGTTAGAGAAAAGACTATATATATATGCTTATGCCAAAGAGAAGTAGCAAGAATTGGATTTGCCCTCCCACCTGAAACAACCAACAAAACAAAACACTGGGCATCACATATGAAAAAGTGGTTTTCATGACATCAGAAAATAAAGGACAGTGATTTCTGAGAGTAAGAAAATAAATAAGGTGAGCCCAAAGGTCATCCCAGCTTTCTGCCAAGAGAGGGCTTCCAAGCAACATCAAGAGGAGAGACATAGGCAGACCTGCTTAACTTTTGGAGTTGAAAAGTTGAATAACAATCCAGGAATACTAACATGGTGAGAGTTAATGGAATAAAGTACTGTAAAGAAGAGGACTGTGGTGAGATAGAGCTTCAGAGATCTGAAAAGAATTGCTAGGCTACTATTCAGCCAACCTATGCAAAGGAGGAAAATCCCTGAGGGCAGGAAAGAACCATCTAAGAGGATGAGAGGGAATAGTCCTGATGTTCAAATGGGGCAGGGGAAATTGCCTCTTCCTATAAGTCAGGACTAAATACCACTTCATTTGCGGGATATTAGGTAGAACATTTATAATTCTTGATTTAGTATTGTTCAATAACTAGCTATAAGGTAAATGCTGCTTTAGTCCTACCCAGTAAATTTGAAAAGCAAGAAATAAAAGGATCAAAGTGTTTCCATCCAAGAAAAAATCTCATATATATATATGTGTGTGTATATATATATATACACATATATATTTATATCCTTGTATTATATAGACATAGATCCATGTATATATACATATATATATATATGAGAGAGAGACAGAGTGCAAAAGTATCAAACATCTAACAAAGGAAAATTCACAGTGTCTGTGACTTAATAAAAAAAATTCCTGGGCACCAATAAAACATTGACCATAAAATAAAACAGAACTGAAACAGAGGTTAATACTAGTAGCCCAAGGAAATTAAAGCAGTACTTATAACTGTAGCCCATGTGTTCAGAAATTAAATAGAGAGAAGGTTATGTAAAAAAAAAGACCCAAGGGCTGGAGGAATGGCTGAAATGATAGAGACCTGACTAGCAAGTGTGAAGCCCTGAGTTCAAACCCCAGTACTGCCAAAATATTAAAATCTCAAAAAAAAAAAAAAAAAGACCCACATCAAAGTGCTGGATATGAAAACCATACTGTTTGATATATGAACTAACAGAATAATATCAAGTGGGACTACTATTAAATACACTGGATGGGATTATACATTGTAGAGGAAAGAGTAATATAAAGATTAGCATAGAAACTACACAAAATTAAGACTGGCGAGTGGCTGAAGTGCTAGAACACCTACCTAGGAAGCGTGAGGCCTTGAGTTCAAACCTCAGTACTACCAATAAAAAAGAAAAAAAGAAACTATCCAAAATGAAACAAAATAGAACCATTAAAGAATGCAACAGAAATCATTATAAAGACCATCAGTGAGTTGTGGCATACCTTTAAGCAACCTACCATATGTGTACTTGAATCCCCACAGTAGAAGTGTGGGGAAGAAAGAAA